ATAGCAAACATTAAACCAGAGTCTACTTTCAAGTGTGGTCTAGAGCAGACACTTGCGAGATACTGTACCGACGCTTAGTGCGCTCAACTCACACCAAAGTATCACCGGTGTACTTCTGTATATTCGACCAAATATATATATAGTATCTTAGTGTCTGTGTTTATTTGTCACCATACTTTACGTAACAATAGAACCGTTACAATGTATTTGATCCAGACACAAGAAACTCACTAAGCTATCCCCGAGGAGATAGTTCTCTCGTTACGATGCGGCCTTCCACACGCCCCTGGCGGACGCACCAGATACTCTGCACCACCAAATAGCCTAATCACAACATTATTTTTTTAATGCTGTAACAACAATATCACAACCTTGTGTGATATCGTTACCAACCTTGTATGTTTGCTGGCCAGTTGCTACGTTTTCAAACTCGTCAGAATATATTTGTAATTCTGTAGTGAGAAGCATTATAACAAAGAGATGACTAAGAGGCTGAAGGGCCGCTACCACAAAGTATATTAGTGTTAGACTAGCAAGCATGTAGGAGGCTTTTCCTACAGACGTTTGTGCCTGTTGTCATTTGTAAAACCTGTTTGCCAGACGCACGATCAATAAACCCTGGCAAGTCTCGTACTCAAGATTTTGCCATAAGGTAAAAAAATTACTTCCCTTCCAGGCGGATGATCAAGACGGAATGTGCCAATCTATTAGGCTTTAAGTTTTACAATAGAGAACAGCCTAACGTCTTCTGTAACAAATATCCATCACACCCATCTGGCTCCCACGCTCTGATTGAATAACGAAAGCTCACAGAAGTACGACTGAGTTTCCTGTAAAGCAGGCAGCACCCATCAGGTCGTTGGCGGGCACCGTCGAGCAACGAGCCGCTACACCGCCAGCCCCAAAGGTGTTGTCACGACACCCATAACTTCCAACTGGTCATGGCGGCCGCTGCTGCTAGACACACAACCATGGTTCATTGGCCACTTCGAGGCTGTTTGTCTGAGGTTGGTACTGGCGCCTGGTACTGAGGTACTGGCGCCTGGTACCCGCTGCCAGGCGCCAGTGGGTACAATACACTAAGGTTTGGTGCACTGCGCGACAACGAAGGATGAGTTGTCGCATGTAAGATAATAGTATATATTGTTTGCGTTTTGTATATATACTAGTATTAAATTAATAAATATAATATCAATAAAATGAGTAATAATAGGCAGTAAGAAATGTGGTGTTGTTGGTGGGGAAAAATGAGACAGAAAAAAAGTTATATAAGAGATCTTCCCCTTAATAACACCTGCTTTATATATATTATTAAGCCCTAGCGTGGTATTGATAAAAATAAAAATTTTGTTGATCAATTTACATCAATCAGCATACTGAAAATTATCTCTAATGAGATTTTTATTGAAATGATAGCGATAATATGAGGCTAGGCATAGCGGAAGTTCTTCACCTGAAACACACACTGATCCACTTATCAAGAGTTAGCTCATGTCTGTTTGTCCTTACTGTAGACCAAGATGTAAGTGGTAGTTGGTGCTTCACCAACCACGCCAGCCCAACTGTGAGAATGCAGGATGCTATTAACATGTTCTTTTGACAGGACATCACTGCCTCTACTACACCCACATCATCATGAACATATTGAGATAATGTCTATTGAGTTCCCTGCCTCTGAGGATGTTAAGATGAGCCTAGCCAAACACACCACGTACATTATAGGTGTAAATGGGACCTTGGAGAGTTACATTTGTAACTTCCTTCCCAAGTAATGAAAAAACTAAATAATAGAGAATATTTGTGATAGAATAATAAGATTATACGTTTATGTTTAGTTTAAATCATGGTCTCAGCTCCCTGTAGCATAGTGATCAGCGTCTTTAACTCGCAATCGAGGATTTAGGGTTCAATCCCCAGGCAGGGCAGAAACAGTTGGGCAATATTACATTTCACCCTATACTCCTGTTCACCTAGTAGTAAAATAGGTACCCGGGAGCTAAGCAACTGTTGTAAGTTGCATCCTGGGAAGGCCAGCAGCTGGCCCAGGGAGACCTCGATAACCCTAAACACAGATTTTCTACTTTCGACAACGGAAAAAATACCGTTGGACAATGAAAGTAGGGGTCAAAAAGGGGATAAAAATGATGTGATCCCACGTCATCGTGACGTCATAGTTTTAAGTCTCGGAATCCTTTTTGGATACTAGTATTTCCTCTGCAGAAATGGACCTTGTGCCAGGTCAATATATCTCCCTCTAAACATGGTGCCCGCGTCACAGCCTCGCGTGAGAGGTCACGTTAACACTAAATAACTGCACCAGTTTCAGGCTCTCCACGCACAGCGAGGCCAACACAGTCACTATATACGCTTCAGTCCACACCATTAAACGCCGAATTTTCTTCCATTACATTTGTATATCTTTCTTGAAGGGATATTTTTAACCCGTTGTTTATTTATATATTTGCCAAAATAACAAGGGAAAAGTTTTGTTTTTATTTGTTAAAAGAGCATAAAAATAGTTATAAATTTAAGTCTGTTATTTATTTAATTTCAAAAGCAATCGAAAACGCAGATATAGGACGAGTGACGTCACCGATAACGTCATGAAATAAAGCCGTGATTGGCCGGGAGTTAGCCAATGGGAGGCCGGTAGGTTATCCTGTCACGATGATTGGTTGCTGTGTTTCCCGCGTTACTGTAAACAAGACGCTGATTGGTCGTAGCGCTGCACGTGGCACTGTAGCCAGCACTGTGATCAGCTTCCCATGACCCCTCCCCCCTATCTTCTCCCACACAAACATTCTCCATTTCATGTGCAAGGGAACACTGTAGGTCATGATGGTCACTGTAGGTCATGATGGACACTGTAGGTCATGATGGTCACTGTAGGTCATGATGGACACTGTAGGTCATGATGGTCACTGTAGGTCATGATGGACACTGTAGGTCATGAAGGTCACTGTAGGTCATGATGGACACTGTAGGTCATGATGGACACTGTAGGTCATGTTGGTCACTGTAGGTCATGATGGACACTGTAGGTCATGATGGTCACTGTAGGTCATGATGGACACTGTAGGTCATGATGGTCACTGTAGGTCATGATGGTCACTGTAGGTCATGATGGACACTGTAGGTCATGATGGTCACTGTAGGTCATGAAGGTCACTGTAGGTCATGATGGACACTGTAGGTCATGATGGTCACTGTAGGTCATGATGGACACTGTAGGTCATGATGGACACTGTAGGTCATGATGGTCACTGTAGGTCATGATGGACACTGTAGGTCATGATGGTCACTGTAGGTCATGATGGACACTGTAGGTCATGATGGTCACTGTAGGTCATGAAGGTCACTGTAGATCATGATGAACACTGTAGGTCATGTTGGTCACTGTAGGTCATGATGGACACTGTAGGTCATGATGGTCACTGTAGGTCATGATGGACACTGTTGATCATGATGGTGACTGTAGGTCATGATGGACACTGTAGGTCATGATGGTCACTGTAGGTCATGAAGGTCACTGTAGATCATGATGGACACTGTAGGTCATGATGGACACTGTAGGTCATGATGGTCACTGTAGGTCATGAAGGTCACTGTAGATCATGATGGACACTGTAGATCATGATGGACACTGTAGGTCATGATGGACACTGTAGGTCATGATGGTCACTGTAGGTCATGAAGGTCACTGTAGATCATGATGGACACTGTAGGTCATGATGGACACTGTAGGTCATGATGGTCACTGTAGGTCATGAAGGTCACTGTAGATCATGATGGTCACTGTAGGTCATGTTAGTCACTGTAGGTCATGATGGACACTGTAGGTCATGATGGTCACTGTTGATCATGATGGACACTGTAGGTCATGATGGACACTGTAGGTCATGATGGTCACTGTAGGTCATGATGGTCACTGTAGGTCATGATGGACACTGTAGGTCATGATGGACACTGTAGATCATGATGGACACTGTAGGTCATGATGGACACTGTAGGTCATGATGGACACTGTAGGTCATGATGGACACTGTAGATCATGATGGACACTGTAGGTCATGATGGACACTGTAGGTCATGATGGACACTGTAGGTCATGATGGACACTGTAGATCATGATGGACACTGTAGGTCATGAGGACACTGTAGGTCATGATCACTGTAGGTCATGGACACTGTAGATCATGATGGACACACATGTAGGAACACTGTAGGTCATGATGGACACTGTAGATGATGGACACTGTAGATGATGGACACTGTGTAGGTCATAATGGACACTGTAAGTCATGATGGACACTGTAGGTCATGATGGACACTGTAGATCATGATGGACACTGTAGGTCATGATGGACACTGTAGGTCATGATGGACACTGTAGGTCATGATGGACACTGTAGATCATGATGGACACTGTAGATCATGAGGAACACTGTAGGTCATGATGGACACTGTAAGTCATGATGGACACTGTAGGTCATGATGGACACTGTAGATCATGATGGACACTGTAGATCATGAGGAACACTGTAGGTCATGATGGACACTGTAAGTCATGATGGACACTGTAGATCATGATGGACACTGTAGGTCATGATGGACACTGTAGGTCATGATGGACACTGTAAGTCATGATGGACACTGTAGGTCATGATGGACACTGTAGATCATGATGGACACTGTAGGCCAGTTTCTTAAGCCTCCGCTATAAACTGTATTTAACAGAGAAAATGATACTTATGTACTAATAAAGAAAACGAAAATATTCACTAAATTAGTAGGGAACTATAATATATATTTTCTATAGGCTTTTTATTCATCCGTTTTGGAGAACTGAGCAGGTTCAAGAACGAGTAATGGTTTCTCATGACTAATTCGAAAAACTCGAACGATAATTTAACCTTTTTACACTATGAATATGTAGGACAGAGGTTAATTGAATTTTTCACTGTATATACCAAATATATTAGGATGATGAAAATATGTTGTGATACCACTAGATATTTTTATTATTTCCTAATTTAAATTTAAAGACTCAGTAAGATTGTTATGACAGTTTTGTCACGGAATCACAGTTGTTTCAATATTTATTTTATACAATTGTACTACAGTACCAAACCCTCTTTCGACTTCTCAGCAATGACACAGTAACACAGTAAGCCTTTTCCCTCTGGGCAGCAACACTGAGACGATGAAACAGGAAATTGGCTGCTTTTGGGTCTCTAGTTTACCTACTTAGTTTTTCACCCAAATTCCTGAGAAATTTAAATGCATATTTACCCCAGGAACCAAGGAACTCCGAAGTTACTAGCACGAACCTGTAACACTGTCCTCGACTCCTGCACTTGCACTTGTTCTAGGTATCCCTGAAAGTGGCAGCCGCGCCATCTTCACATACACTGTACCGTAGATTGGTATCAGTCATTGCATGTACACACACACACATGTCGTCCCACACAAGTGCATTATCTTTCCAGTAGTAATAATACTACTACTAATAATAAGAATAATATTAATAATATTTTATAAGATAGAAGAAAGATAAATTATATCAGTTATTATTTAGTGAGTATTTGTATTTTCTATAATACAACAAATTACGTTATATATATATATATATATATATATATATATATATATATATATATATATATATATATATATATATATATATATATATATATATATATATATATATATATATATATATATATATATATATATATATATATATATATATATATATATATATATATATATATGAATGAGACAAACTCAAGTACACAAAGCAAATTGCAATTTGCTATTGTACTGACTATGAGAGAGTACAGAGCATAGATCAAGAGCCAGCTGTGAGTTGATCAAGAGTCTCCACCTCACCGGATGGGTATAGCCAGTCACTCACACACACGGTGTAAGAAGCACGTCACGACAAGCGAGTCTGGTCTCCTGGTCCCCGACTCTTACAAGCTCTGGGGAGACCGCCTGAATATCTTCCAGTTTGTGTGCGTGTGTGAAGTAGTTACAGAGCTCAGTGTACAAGGTATATACGGCTTTCATTTAGGTCTCTCCTATCTCTGTTTCTCATCTTTCCTTCCTGTATCTCTCGCTTCTTTCTGTCTCTTTCTCACCAATCTCTCTCTGCCAGTCTCTCACCTCTCACTCTGCGAATCTCTCACCTTTCTCTACCTGTCTCGGCCTGTCTCTCACTTCTCTCTGCCAGTCTCTCTCCTCTCTTTGGCAGTCTATCACCTTTCTCGGCCTGTCTCTCACCTCTCTCTGCCTGTGTCTCACTTCTCTCTCTCTCTTTGCCTGTCTCTCACCTCTCTCCGCCAGTCTCCCTCCTCTCTATACCTGTCTCTCACCTGTCTGCTAGTCTCTCACCTCTCTCTCTACCTGTCTCTCACCTCCCTCTCACGAAAAACCTTTCAAGCCTTTGCTCCCTCAGCGTCATCACTTTGTTCCTCTTGAGAAGTTTCTTCTTCTCCTTCCGTCTCCCTTTCTCTCTTCTTTATCAATTCCCGCTCGTCCTTGGGGACCCTCTGCCTCTCGAAGAAGCCCACCTGGACACGAAGAACTCCGTCGTCAATGGAATCAACAGGTTTTTATATATTTTTTCTTAAACGGGAAGAAACTATCAGGAGAGAGCGTCAAGGAAGTACGATAATATAGCACTTGGAAGGAGTCAGGATTTGGGATGGGACGGGGGGAAGGAATGGTGCCCAACCACTTGTGGACGGTCGGGGTTTATGATTTTTTATGAAAGTAGATGATCCTACTGAAAGTAGATACTCTAAATGAAAGTAGATACTCTAAATGAAAGTAGATACTCTAAATGAAAGTAGATACTCTAAATGAAAGTAGATAATGTAACTGAAAGTAGATGATCATACTGAAAGTAGATACTCTAAATGAAAGTAGATAAACATACTAAACGTAGATAATTTTATTGAAAGTAGATAATCTTACAAAAAGAAGATTAATCTTGCTGAAGGTATATATTCTTATAAAAATATCTTTCAACGCATGGCACTGCAGGAAGATACAAGTGCCCAACACTGCTGTGGCACTTATAACCTATGTTAAGTATTGCTAATTCACGACGTGTGCAACTGGAACTTATAACTGGAACTTATAATTAGAACTTATCTAAGTTAGTACTCTTTGAAACAATTATTGTGTTATACAAATTAAAATTTTACATTTGCATTCCTGAGTGGCACTAATTGATAATTATAATTTGCACTGGTCGACTACTGTAGCTGGCAGCCAATCTGTGCCAATGGGAGAATCTAACTGCCACTCGTGTTTGCTTTCAATGACCAAATTACCTGTAACTAATTAGTATCCCCCACGTAGCGATAATTAGCCTTCCAATCTTGTACTTCCCATTGCTAATGGCATCCTAATTAAAATTCCAAGATAACAAACTTTTAGCCCATGACTGGTAATTAATTCCGAATCTGAAAAAAATATAATAAACACAAATATAATTTTCTCAAATTTTCCAAATTATAAATTCTAACAAAGTAGCTATTCGTGGAAAAAATACTCGATATAGATTTTAATTATCACACTTTGGCACTGACGTTAAAAGTGGGCGTTTATAGTATTTGAGTGGCACTTTGTGACACAACTTGGCAGTACTGACCTTTTTCAGGACCGCCATGATGATGAGAATGATGATGAAGCTGATGAGGAGGATCAGGAGCCAGTGCCACCAGCCGATGGTCCGAGCGCTGGACGTCTGAGGGTGAGAGAGAGAGAGAGATAGAGAGAGAGAGAGAGAGAGAGAGAGAGAGAGAGAGAGAGAGAGAGAGAGAGAGAGAGAGAGAGAGAGAGAGAACAACTGACAACTGCTGTAGTGGAGCTGTTAAAATAATATGTATATGTATATATACCACGTGATTGCAGTTCTAGAAACTTATATACATATTTTCAGACACCATTAATGTATATTACCTTACAACCACTATGACGAGCACCATCACAACCACTTGCACCACGCGCATGCCTCACTTACCATTGGTTTGATGATGGTAACAAGTGTTCCAGCTGTTACGTTCTCATTGGCGCCGGTGATAAAGTTGTACTGATGGTCAACCTTTACAGTCACCTGCGTCTCCACCAGCACTGATCGGCGACGCAGAGACTAAACAATTTTGAGGAGAGACAGAGAGCGGGTGATGTTAATTCACTAAAATATTCAAGCTCAACATTCTAGCTCAACATTCAAATTTACCAAGCCCAATAACCAAAATATGTATATATTTTCTCTAGTGCCGTAGGGAGAATATTTAAATCAGGCGCCGGTGGAAGGTTCCGCAGCTGCAGGGTGGCGGGAACTGCTGTGATTGGTGGGCCGCTGTGACGTGCGGCGGGGGACGCGCGGCCCGCCAGTGTACCAAGTACCCTAGTGAGAGTACGACGCGTTTCCCGACCTAATGGCCTTGCCCTCAGACCTTGCGCTACCTGCATGTACTCGAGCAGAGGACAGGAGGTGTAGCTCGACAGCTCAGTATCCCAGCTGACATGTCTAAAGTCGTCCTCCGAGGATCATCCCACGAGAATGTGTTCAACCCCATCCAACTCCGGCCGTTCGAAGCCCTCTGACCCCCTGGCAGAAACCCTCACCCATCTTCCCACAGGGTTACAGGGAGCCTTGAGGAGGACTGAAGATAGCTCCAGCCTCTAGGTAAGTGTTCTTCTGTGTACACTACCTCACATCCTACAGGTGAGCACAGAGGTAGTACACTGTACCACCAGTGTACCTGGGGTACACTGTATGTATGTACCCCCCCCCTGTATGTATGTATGTATGTACTCTTGTATGTACTGATACACTGGTACACAGAGGGAGTACACTGTACTAACTGGTGTTCTTCTACAGTATAACGTTTTTATTTCTAGTTGTCACCCATCTCTGTACATACAAACTGTATGAGATATTGGTTCTTCAGTTCCAGCTTATCTTTCATAAACAGTGTGCTGGTTGTATCCTTGTAAAATGTTTGAGTTCAGGTAAAAATAACATAAAAAGTAAAATAACATAAACAGTAATATTTAAGTGATTTGCTAAAGTCAATGCTCAAAAAATAAAGAACGTATCTTTTGTAGAAAATGTAAAACAAACGCGTCGATGATAGGAGGCACTAAAACATTTTATAGACCGTCGAACGCGTTCCAAGAATTACAATGTTAAGAAAATAGGAGGCACTAAGCTCTATAATGATAAGTAAAAAGTAATTTTAAATTAGATTAGAGGCTACAGGGAATTTAAATCATGAAATGGCTGGCCTGAGACACATTTAGGGACTCGTCAGAGACCAGAAAGTGGAGTTGTATGTTACCTGGAGGGCAGCCACCACGGCGTAGCCAGTCACAGACACCCCCACCTGCATCCCAGCCCTCAGCGTCGTCGCCTCACATCTATATAAACAAATGAATTATATCGTACAATCTTCTTCTATCGTACAATGCAGTGTTTACAAACATTTACAGGACCAACAATGTTTACAACATGGGTTAAGGACATAAACAAGGGTGGGGGGCTGTATAAACAAGGTTCTCAAACTATGGGAACAGTGCAGATCCCACTACAATGGGTACAAGCTAAAGAAATTTCGTATTAGGAGGGAAATTGGGGAGTACTCTTTTGTAGATAAGCAAGAGTAGACTGAGCTACCAATGGGCATTATTGTGACAGATTGCAAGAATAGATATGACTAATACATTAGTGAGAAGGGATGGATATAAACGGGACTCGCCTAGTATGGGACAACATTTATTTCCATGTAAATATGTATCATAGTGTGTATAATATTGTCGCAAAATATTGTAAGCTCCAGTGAATGCTCAGGGAAAGCTATATTGCCTCCAATTACGAAACTGTTAGTCGTGTGGGGTAATGAGTCGAGGCCAAATTGGTAAACAAGGTAAAGGATATAAAATGGTTGTGACCCTCTGGTTTACAGGCAGGTTCCCGTGACAGTGTTTACAAGTAGGCTCCTGTGACAGTGTTTACAAGCAGGCTCCTGTGACAGTGTTTACAAGCAGGCTCCTGTGACAGTGTTTACAAGCAGGCTCCTGTGACAGTGTTTACAAGCAGGTTCCTGTGACAGTGTTTACATGCAGGCTCCTGTGACAGTGTTTACAAGCAGGCTCCTGTGACAGTGTTTACAAGCAGGCTCCTGTGACAGTGTTTACAAGCAGGTTCCTGTGACAGTGTTTACATGCAGGCTCCTGTGACAGTGTTTACATGCAGGCTCCTGTGTGTTTACAAGCAGACTCCTGTGACAGTTTTACAAGCAGGCTCCTGTGACAGTGTTTACAAGCAGGCTCCTGTGACAGTGTTTACAAGCAGGCTCCTGTGACAGTGTTTACAAGCAGGCTCCTGTGACAGTGTTTACAATCAGGCTCCTGTGGCAGTGTTTACAAGCAGGCTCCTGTGACAGTGTTTACAAGCAGGCTCCTGTGACAGTGTTTACAAGCAGGCTCCTGTGACAGTGTTTACAAGCAGGCTCCTGTGACAGTGTTTACAAGCAGGCTCCTGTGGCAGTGTTTACAAGCAGGCTCCTGTGGCAGTGTTTACAAGCAGGCTCCTGTGGCAGTGTTTACAAGCAGACTCCTGTGACAGTGTTTACAAGCAGGCTCCTGTGGCAGTGTTTACAAGCAGGCTCCTGTGACAGTGTTTACAAGCAGGCTCCTGTGACAGTGTTTACAAGCAGGTTCCTGTGACAGTGTTTACATGCAGGCTCCTGTGACAGTGTTTACAAGCAGGCTCCTGTGGCAGTGTTTACAAGCAGGCTCCTGTGACAGTGTTTACAAAGAGACTCACATGATCAGCTCACAAGGTGTGTAATCACAGTTCAGAGAGACGACCTCACCAATACGATCCCTGTTAACCAAACGTAGATTAGTGTCACTTTAAATATAAAACACAAATCACTGAGAAAAGGGAACGAAATAAAGGACAGTAGAAGTGATTACATTCAAGAATAGTTTGGTTTGGGCTTAAGATCTATCATCCCCCGGAGGGATTACTAAGACCATCACCATAGGTTACTGACCAACCAGCTTTAGTCTTCAATACAATCCAGGATAAAAGTAAACTGTAAACTGAGAAAGCAGTATACACTCCTCGGTGTATATATTGTGTATATCCCTGCCTGTGTAAGAAGAGGCAAAGATGACAGCAGGTTGAAGGAGTCGTAGAAATGGAGGAACATGTTGTATAAATAGTGATAAATATATTAGATAAATTGCTTGAGGTTTGTCTTAAACCTTGGGACTCACCTCGCCACCTGCTCGTGGTCATCGCCTCCAGCATCACAAGCGACGTCCTCATCACCAGCGCAAAGCTTACGAGGACGAGGACCTTCCGGGGTGTCAGCCTGCCTCCTGCGTCTGCGATGGGGGTTGTCGGGGAAGTTTATGGTTTGAGGGTCGACGACGCTGTTATCAACGTGGGTGCTGATATCCTCACGGCCGTTATCGTCTTCTTTAGACGTGAACTGTGTCGGAATATATGGGATGACTGAAGTTGAACCGTGGAAAAATGTGGCGGGTGACTGAGGTAAAGTAAACTGGTGTAGGAGGTGAGGGATGACTGAGGCAAAGCGAACCGTGTCTGAATTTACGCCAGGATTCATGAACACTTTTGAGAGAACAGTAGATATCAACTAGAAACCAATGAAGATTGCTAGATACCACGGTACCTGTGAGGCCGAGAGACGACTAGTAAATACATGTGCAAACTCTTAGAATCTCCCTCCCCTCCCCCCCCAAAAAAACTAGAAGGCTTTAAAATGGCCGTAGAGGCAACTCTTACGTTAAAATTCTTTGGGTTAAGAGTAGGAGATGAGCAGGTGATGGCGCCTGAGGTCCGGAGCGGCTCCACAACGTAGAACACTGGCAGACGTCCCGCCAGCTGCCACGGCACACCAAGCACCACCTACCGGTACAAAAACAAACCAACCACGTGAAATACACACACACATTGGAGCCCAATAGGCTCAGGAACCTGTACACCTGATGATTGACGGTTGAGAGGCGGGACCAAAGAGCCAGAGCTCAACCCCCCGCAAACACAATTAGGTGAGTACACACACACACACATACACACACACACACACACACACACACACACACACACACACACACACACACACACACACACACACACACACACACACACACACACACTAGCGGCTCCAGGGGGACACAGGCTGCGGATGTAATAGTTTCATCATTCAAAACATCTGGTGTACTCGAGTCTTTCTGATTTAAGCTCTTAGCCTGTACACCTGTCTGATTTCACCTCATCTGTACACATGTCTCCGTTCCTGCCTCACTTTCTTCACACCAAGGTATACTTCCAGGGTATACAGGCTGCTACTCCTAAGCCCCGCTGTTTAAATGATTACTTGAATGATTTAAATTAATTGACTTCATTCTCTCGTTATTCAAATCACATATGGAATGTATTACATGTAATAAGATGCCTTCGACTTATTGATCTAATTCATTTCAGTTATTTGCAAACTGAACGTCTAGTTCTGTCTTACTGACATCTAAGGGGAGTCATTTGCGTTCTTTAAGTACTTTCTATATGCCCCCGTGTCAGTCACTGTGGCTGACACCAACTGTGGCTGACACTCACTGTGGCTGACACTCACTGTGGCTGACACATACCTTGAGAGAGAGAACAGGAGACGGGCCATGGTTGATGATGGAGAAGGTGTGGGTGACGGGAGGGCCCAGCCTCCCTGGAGAGTCCAGAGAAACATTGCCGGCCAGCGTCTCCACGCCCGCCGTCTCGTTCACCCGGCCCTCGACGCTGTCAGGGTCCGCGGTCCTGAAGGAGAGCAAGCTTTAGCCGGAGGAAGTGTTGGTGGTATACAGTTTTGTTGAGGGGAAGGTCCTGTTGGAGTAACTTAAGTTCAAAGTTGTTTCATCAACCTGTTCTCCTACAAAGAACGTCGGTCGCTTTTCGCCCGTGTGCGTTACCTAAGGCCAAATAATGTCGTACTAGAAAATGGAAGCGGCTGGCGAAAGTGACTGTCCCGTTTTCTGTTTTGGGTCCTCTGGTTGGTTAGGAGAGGACACTCTACATTGACCGTTTTCTTAACGTTGGGAAACCTTAGGAGGACGACCTGGTTTTATATCCTGGATTCTTTGCTGAATACAGTCTTGTTAAAGGATGTTTTCACCTGATAATTATTGAAAGATTATTCTCATGACTATTTCAGTGAATTATATTTTTTTGATTTAAAATTGTACAAAACCTGTCACTTATGATTGTGACAAGTTTTGTACAACTAGTGTTGGGCTTTAGGCCTATCAACCTCTGGAGAGTAATTAAGGCCACTGCAATGGCTTACTGCAAGTGTAGTACAAGTGTACTTTAGTTCTGAGCATTATGCAAGACCAAGGTAAACTCTCACTATTTATATACCGAGAAGCGGGGTATACACTTGTTAATATATTTTTGTTATCATTGCCATAACACCAAAACAAATTGAATCACCACCAAACAGTTGTTTCTTCAAACAATTACAGACGACTTTACTATAAACGGGAAGACGACTGACGACCAAGCCTCCTTTACTAACAGCCAGACTGCTAATGATCCTTAACTATTGATAACACGTCTACTAACGACCCCTGGCTTGATAACACGACTACTGACGTCCCCTGTCAAGTGATAACTCCTGACTATTGATACCGCGACACTTATTGACCCTATTTGACAACAACCTAGAACTGACAACAGACGGACAATTAACAACCCTGATTGATCAGATTTCGTGCATAAATGAGCAACCAATTGACATATATAATTGTTACACGTGAAACTGAGTCACCTAAATCTGTAGTTGTGAGATATATAATGACAGAAACGTGATGGCTAAATAAAGTTTACTGTAGACTTTGTGTATGGACCCACCCAGACACTTGGAGGAGGACCTCGCTGATGGTGGGGATATCGAGGGTGATGTTGTTGTCCTTCTCGTTGAGGTCAAGACTGATGCTGGAGACGTTCATCTGCAGAGTGACCTTCGTATCCCCGGAGGTCATCAGGTGGTCGAGCAAGACCTCAGGAGTGTAGTCGAAGTGGAGTGCTAGCGAGACCTGAGGGTAAATGGTCAGAAACGTATTGTTAAGATTTCATTGTTACTTAGATGTAAGAACGAAGGAAACTGTAGACGGCCTATTGACCTACGCGAGGCTGATCCTATTTATATCTGCCCGAATTCCTTCATGTGTGTGTCTGACCTGCGCTTGACACACTCCAGCGATCCCACGTTAAAGCTATACACGTGTGCGTATAGCCTTAATGGGGGGGGGGTAATACTGACAACCACAGAAAGATTAGGTTCTGACCGAAATTCAAGAACCACCAACATCAGAATGATTGATTAAGTTGTGTTTTGAAACTTTTTAAATTTTTTTTCTCTCTCTCTCTCTCTCTCTCTCTCTCTCTCTCTCTCTCTCTCTCTCTCTCTCTCTCTCTCTCTCTCTCTCTCTCTCTCTCTCTCTCTCTCTCTCTCTCTCTCTCTCTCTCTCTCTCTCTCTCTCTCTCTCTCTCAGTTGTTAAATGAGGAATAAGGATATACACTTTGTTCCTCCAATGCGAAGTGAAGCAGCATGTTGTTAGTTCACTGAAGAACAATGTTCTACCTGCTTCTGATGGGAGAAGAACAGTGACTACCTGATCATCCTTTTGAAGATCCGAGCCAAAGACACACATCAAGGTATTCACGCCATCCTTGGTGAGGGAGGGGAACCCGCACCTGGGGATGTGAACATCTCCGGAGACCCGTCTGAACACCAGTTGCTGCGGGTATTTCATTCCCAGTTGTACGGAGAAAGCAGAGTCCTTCCTCACGCCCACCACCACCTCCACCACCAAGCCTTCCCCACCTATCACCAGCGGACGCCTGCACGCACCACAGGGAAAAAAATCAGTCAGTGTGGGAAAACGTAGCAAGTGGAGTGCCCCAAGGCTTTGTCCAGGGACCTCTGTTGGTTACGTGTATATAACCAATGTTAATTCTTAAATGAACAACAGCATTTGTAAATTTGCGCAAGATACAAAATCATGAAGAAGACTAAAAAAAATATGAAGAGGACTAAATACAGCATGAGGGGATAGGGGGCTAAACTGGGCATGAAGCAGACTAAACAGAGCATGAGGAGGGGGGACTTAACAGAGCATGAGAGGGAACTAAACAGAGCATGAGGGGGAGACTAAAAAAAAATCTGAAGACTTACGTGTTGAGAGCCACAAGACTGAGGTCAGGCTTGGAGAAGCAAGACTCTTGGTCATGACAGACGAGACGGGCGTCGGCGCTGAAGGTGGCCCTACTGAAGATGTCCAGGACGCTGGGGACCACCGCCTGCAGCACCTGAGGACTGCCGAAGGATCCGCTGGTATCGCCACTGATAGGATTAGCCCTGTCACGGCCCTCAGAACCGTCCAAGAAGTGAACCACCTCCTGCGTAACCGGTTGAAGACTAGCATTGACGGAAACTTTGACGGGAGTGTCCAATCGTGGACGACCAGGCTGTTGTAGAGGGCAAAGAGAGTTGTATTAACTGGTGAGATGTGCCAACAAGACCGTAGGCAAACTCGTCCACGCATATAAAGAGACAAAAAAAATAGATACAGACAGAGATAGACAAAGATAGAAAACCAAATAAAGAACGTTGATCACAAGAATATGGCGAAGGAAAGTTGTTGAAGGGGAGGAGAGATGTTTAAGGAGTCTGGCAGCGGGTAAAATGGTTGTTAAGGGTAACAATCAATTCTGAACAAGAATGGAATTTTATAATTGAGTCCTGAGTGGCTCCTATAGCCACTCGCTCTCCTCTGTCTCTCTCTCTCTCTCTCTCTCTCTCTCTCTCTCTCTCTCTCTCTCTCTCTCTCTCTCTCTCTCTCTCTCTCTCTCTCTCTCTCTCTCTCTCTCTCTCTCTCTCTCTCTCTCTCTCTCTCTCACCTTAACATAAACAGGGAAAGCAGTGAGGTGGTTCCGTTGCCTCATCTCGCGGTAGTAGGAAATCTTCGCAGTATTGTTCATCCTGCCAAAAAATAAATGAGTTTGTACCAAAAATTAACAACTATTCCTCCAAGTGTTAAACTTGTACCTAAACCTGGAGGTTAACAATGCAGTGCAAAAGTTATAAGAAGTCTCAACATTCGAGTCAAAATATGAAAATATGAATTCTTAAGAAAGAGAACATCTTGATAAAAATGAGAATTGACCTTAAAATACCTGACTGTTACTCCAAATTTATTTGATGGTGCGTGAAACAGTAAGCCCGGTGTGTTAAACAGTAAGCCCGGTGCGTGAAACAGTAAGGCTGGTGCAAGAAACAGTAAGCCCGGTGCAAGAAACAGTAAGGATCGTGCATGAAACAGTAAGGATCGTGCATGAAACAGTAAGGATCGTGCATGAAACAGTAAGGATCGTGCATGAAACAGTAAGGATCGTGCATGAAACAGTAAGGATCGTGCATGAAACAGTAAGGATCGTGCATGAAACAGTAAGGATCGTGCATGAAACATTAGGGATGATGCATGAAACAGGAAGGTCGGTGTGTGAAACAGTAAGCCCGGTGCAAGAAACAGTAAGCCCGGTGCAAGAAACAGTAAGCCCAGTGCAAGAAACAGTAAGCCCAGTGCAAGAAACAGTAAGCCCGGTGCATGAAACAGGACGGTGCAAGAAACAGTAAGCCGGTGCAAGAAACAGTAAGCCCAGTGCAAGAAACAGTAAGCCCAGTGCAAGAAACAGTAAGGCCGGTGCATGAAACAGTAAGCCCGGTGCAAGAAACAGTAAGCCCAGTGCAAGAAACAGTAAGCCCAGTGCAAGAAACAGTAAGCCCGGTGCATGAAACAGTAAGGCCGGTGCAAGAAACAGTAAGGCCGGTGCAAGAAACAGTAAGGCCGGTGCATGAAACAGTAAGCCCGGTGCAAGAAACAGTAAGGCCGGTGCAAGAAACAGTAAGGCCGGTGCATGAAACAGTAAGCCCGGTGCAAGAAACAGTAAGGCCGGTGCAAGAAACAGTAAGGCCGGTGCATGAAACAGTAAGCCCGGTGCAAGAAACAGTAAGGCCGGTGCAAGAAACAGTAAGGCCGGTGCATGAAACAGTAAGCCCGGTGCAAGAAACAGTAAGCCCGGTGCAAGAAACAGTAAGCCCGGTGCAAGAAACAGTAAGCCCAGTGCAAGAAACAGTAAGCCCAGTGCAAGAAACAGTAAGCCCGGTGCATGAAACAGTAAGCCCAGTGCAAGAAACAGTAAGCCCAGTGCAAGAAACAGTAAGGCCGGTGCATGAAACAGTAAGCCCAGTGCATGAAACAGTAAGCCCGGTGCAAGAAACAGTAAGCCCAGTGCAAGAAACAGTAAGGCCGGTGCAAGAAACAGTAAGCCCAGTGCAAGAAACAGTAAGCCCAGTGCAAGAAACAGTAAGGCCGGTGCAAGAAACAGTAAGCCCAGTGCAAGAAACAGTAAGGCCGGTGCAAGAAACAGTAAGCCCAGTGCAAGAAACAGTAAGGCCGGTGCAAGAAACAGTAAGCCCAGTGCAAGAAACAGTAAGGCCGGTGCATGAAACAGGACGGTGCTAGGCGTAGGAATACCTACTTGGACTCGTGGGAATCTATGAAGGCGAGTCTCTGTTCTTCAGGATCCAACTCCATGGTCAGGTGTATGTCTGTGGGGAAACACCACTTGTTACTCACATGGGCTACACCACACAAGGGCCACACCACACAAGAGCCACACCACACAAGAGCCACACCACACAAGGGCCACATCACACAAGGGCCACACCACACAAGGGCCACACACCACACAAGGGTCACACCACACAAGGGCCACACCACACAAGGGCCACACCACCACAAGGGTCACACCACACAAGGGCCACACCACCCAAGGGTCACACCACACAAGGGCCACACCACACAAAGGCCACACCACACAAGGGCTACACCACACAAGGCCACACCACACAAGGGTCACACCACACAAGGGCCACACCACACAAGGGCCACACCACACAAGGGTCACACCACACAAGGGCCACACCACACAAGGGCCACATCACACAAGAGCCACACCACACAAGAGCCACACCACACAAGAGCCACACCACACAAGAGCCACACCACACAAGGGTCACACCACACAAGGGCCACACCACACAAGGGCTACACCACACAAGAGCCACACTATACAAGAGCCACACCACATAAGAGCCACACCACACAAGGGGCCACACCACACAAGGGCCACACCACACAAGGGCCACACCACACAAGGGCCACACCACACAAGAGCCCACACCACACAAGGGCCACACCACACAAGAGCCACACCACACAAGAGCCACACCACACAAGGGTCACACCACACAAGGGCCACACCACACAAGGGCTACACCACACAAGAGCCCCACCACATAAGAGCCACACCACACAAGGGGCCACACCACACAAGGGGCCACACCACACAAGGGGCCACACCACACAAGGGGCCACACCACACAAGGGCCACACCACACAAGGGGGCCACACCACACAAGGGTCACACCACACAAGGGCCACACCACACAAGGGTCACACCACACAAGAGCCACACCACACAAGGGTCACACCACACAAGAGCCACACCACACAAGGGCTACACCACACAAGGGGCCACACCACACAAGGAACCACACCACACAAGCACCACACCACACAAGGGGGCCACACCACACAAGAGGGCCACACCACACAAGCACCACACCACACAAGAGGGCCACACCACACAAGGGGGGCCACACCACACAAGGGGCCACACCACACAAGGGGGGGCCACACCTCACATGAGCCACACCCCACAAGAGCCACACCCCACAAGAGCCACACCACACAAGAGCCACACCACACAAGAGCCACACCACACAAGGCTACACCACACAAGGGTCACACCACACAAGGGTCACACCACACAAGAGCCACACCACACAAGGGTCACACCACACAAGGGTCACACCACACAAGAGCCACACCACACAAGGGTCACACCACACAAGGGCTACACCACACAAGGGTCACACCACACAAGAGCCACACCACACAAGGGCCACACCACACAAGGGTCACACCACACAAGGGTCACACCACACAAGGGCCACACCACACAAGGGCCACACCACACAAGGGTCACACCACACAAGAGCCACACCACACAAGGGTCACACCACACAAGAGCCACACCACACAAGGGCCACACACACAAGGGCCACACCACACAAGAGCCACACCACACAAGAGCCACACCACACAAGAGCCACACCACACAAGAGCCACACCACACAAGAGCCACACCACACAAGGAGTCATCATACAGTACACTATACGAGTCACCATCCAGCCTCATTATACACAACACAGGTCACCATACTAACCCAGGTCGTCACGTATAGCCTTGGAGGTGTACTGGAGGTCAATAACCAGGTCAAAGCAGGTCACCTCCTGCACGTCCTTGCTTCCGGGCATGGTGACCAGGCACGTCTTGTTGCGCAGGGGTATGATACTGGGGTCAAAGGTCACTGACCCCACCAGGGTCACCACTGGAGACGACCTGTGGGGGAGAGGAAGAGAGAAGGCGGAGGTGAGTGAGGGACGAAGGAAGAGGAGTGAGAGAGAGGGGGAAGTGAATGAGGGAAAGTGTTGATAAGATATTGTGAGTAGGTGAGGTTGGTACAGTTCCAGGTGGTACTGTCAGCTCACCTGATTAACACAGCTGTGTCCGATTCCGGGGAACCAATGATGATGTCCGGATATTCGTTGAGATCGACGTCCAGGCCACCGTCCAGGCTGAAGCCGAAGCCACGCAGTCCAGTATCGAATTCAGAGGCGTAGATTACCTGAGAACGTCATTTTCAGTGTTAGGCATTGTTAGTGAGGCATTGTTAGCACATTATTGCTAGACATTGGAAGTCTGAATCCTATATAAAAGGATTCAGTCCTACACAAAAGATTTCAATCCTCCCCAAACAGCTTTCGCTCGCACTGAAGGGCTCTGAGCTACTGGAGGAGGTACGGAGCACCTACCTGGGTAGGGGTCGGGATGAGGCCCTCAGAAGACCCGCTGAAGACGTACACGGCGCCCTGCCCGCCAGGGGCACCAACCACCACGTCTGTCAGGGAGACAAACCTCACCATCACTACCGTCTCACCTTATTGGATTAAATTGGGCAATTTTGTATGTACAAGCGCCTATAGGCAACCCATCCTCCGAACTGACGGTACGTTTTAATACTAAGTGTAATAAGTTCATTTCCTGACTTATACATAGTACATAATTGCACTTATGGGGCTGTTACATTTACCTCCTCATTTAAGTCTCCTCGTTTTCTAGTAACACGCTCTGAATTTTAGGATGAAGTTTTAACGTTCAGTTTGTTCTACACAAGTTTTAAATATCAGGAATTTCTTTTTCAGGTTTATTAAACAATAGAGATTTTATACAAAATTTGAAAATATCCTGGGTTACTTTACAATTTATTTAAATATTTTAGTTTTGTTTTATAAAACTGTAATATCAGTATAGCTATGGGCTAAGTAATAATTGTAATTATAAGCAATAAAATGCTTATCTTCAAAAACTAAGGCAGTTAGGTTAGGCCGTGGGTTTCTATTCAGCTTTTCTGGTAAACTCAAATATTCACAATATAATTGGATACGATTTAATACTGTGTAAATAAGTACAATTCCTGACTGTCACACAGTACATAATTGCACTTATGGGGCTGTTATATTTACCTCCCCATTTTTGGAGGACGGGCTGCTATAGGGGGAGCGGGATGTAACTCTTGGGCCCCGGCTTTAGCTAATGGCTACCTGGTGGTTTTATTCCTCTTATTATTATTGAAGGTGCTGTTCTCAGTCTTTACATTATGTCGTTTACGATTTGTTAAACAATTTCCCGTTGAAGTGGTCAAGGTCGGAAGTATTAATTACCTTCATAACCATCCTGGTTAAGGTCTCCGGGGCACATGACAGCTTGTCCAAAACGACCCCAAGCTTGTTGACCTCTAAGCACCTGAGGGGCTCTGGACACACGCTGTGGGAGGTCAAAGGTCACACGAGGTTAGATCAAGCAACGAGAGAGAGAGAGAGAGAGAGAGAGAGAGAGAGAGAGAGAGAGAGAGAGATGACCACTTTCCTACAATATCCTCGCTAACATGACCCTCTGTAATACGGTTCTCTCCAAAATAGTCCTTCCTGACAGGATTATCTCTCCTTCCGAATATGAACAAAAGCAAACAGTATGGAGCTAAAAACAAAGAGTATGGAAAGCTTGCCCAGGTACTCAAGAGCGGGCCACACCCACCTCCCTGACAGGAGAGTAGTATATGTAAACTTTGCCGGCATCTGGGGCTTGGTGTAGCCCGGGAGCCAGAGGGGCCCCGACCACCAGGTCGTCGGCCCGGTCCCCGTCCAGGTCTCCCCCAGCGAGGCTGTAGCCGTACTTGGCCCCCACGTCCTTCCCTGCGAACCTCACCGTCAGCTCCTTCAGGTCCTCCGTGTAGAATTTCACCTGTCCACCACAACACATAAAGCAATGGACCGATTAAATGCAGTGTATTACGGGCTCACCATAGCCTGTGCTACATAGACATTTCGTTCTGAGTAGCTAAATCTAAAACAACAACAACATAAATGCATAAACCATTGGTATTATCTGGATAAGTTAAGATGCAAGAATGACCTGGGTAAATACTGGTTTTTCAAATATTTGATTTGTGGGACAAATTGTCAGTTAATAGGCGAAGGATCACTTGATTTTTAGGATCACTTAATTGTTTCAAGCTTAGGTTACTTGGAAGGGGTCAGAATAAGGATTTGGGATGGGACGGGGGGGGGGGGAAGGAATGGTGCCCAACCACTTGTAGACGGTCGGGGATTGAACGCCGACCTGCACGAAGCGTGACCGTCGCTCTACCGTCCAGTCCAAGTGGTTTGGCGTATAACTAGGTGAGTACAAGCAAGCGTGAGTACTGACCAGGCCCTTGAAGAGGAGGGTGTTGGGGGTGGAGGTGGCCAGGTACATCACTTGGCCATCAAACTTGCCGGCCACGGTGGCCCAGCCTTCATGGGAGAAGTCCAGCTCTTCTGATCCGTAGGTCTCCTTGCTGGAGTACTCGACCCTGTCATCACTGTCTGTCTGTCTGCTCACCACGGCTCCTGCGGCAACACGGGGGGTTAGAGATAGAGCACAGGATGACATAGAGCACAGGATGAGATGGTTAGAGCAGAGGAAGACACGATTAGAGCAGAGGATGAGCCGATTAGAGCAGAGGAGGACAGGATTAGAGTAGAGAAAGAAACGATTAGAGCAGAAGAAGACACGATTAGAGCAGAGGATGAGCCGATTAGAGCAGAGGAGGACAGGATTTGAGTAGAGAAAAAACGATTAGAGCAGAAGAAGAGATTAGATAAGAGGAAGCTGTAAACATGCAGTACAAGGAGGGACAGAAAACGGTCGGGTCGTGCATGGAGGACTGAAACAACTCGTGTCTGTAAACACGAGTTTACAGACCAACATGCAAACTCATCACAAAGGTAAACCCACTAAGATCATTTACCTTGACCAAAGAAGGCGTTGGGCACTCCCATGTACACACGAGTCTCGTTCTGAAAATACAGGTAAACAGAGGTAAATGACAAAACTATTTTATTTAATAAAAGCCTAACTAGCTGAACACCTATAAATAGCATTATGTATCGTGAGTCAGGTGATGTATATGCCAATGATTCCATTGGAGAACATGAGAGGTGCGATACCTAGCCACTCGTACGTTTAGGAACAGGAGAAAAGTACGATACCTGGCCACTCCTCTCTTATAACAAAGAATATTGACATTATACGTGATGTCTAATAATTTTGAAATAATGATACAGTTACGATACCTGGGTAACACAGACACTGTAGCCTGCCAGTCCGTTGCCTGTGTATCTGTAGTCGTTTCTTAGGGTAACGCCGTTATCTATATGGTAGTCATCTGGCGAGAACAGCTCCATTAGACAATAGTTCTGTATTCAGTGTTATTATCAAGTTAAACCAACTGTTTGTAAGAGTTAGTCCTATTTGTGTTAAGATACACACACACACACACACACACACACACACACACACACACACACACACACACACACACACACACAAACACACACCTTGTCAAGAACAAGACGAAGCTGGAAAAAGTTCAGAGGTATGCCACTAGACTGGTCCCAGACCTAAGAGGCATGAGTTACGAGGAAAGACTGCGGGAAATGCACCTTACGACACTGGATGACAGAAGAGTAAGGGGTGACATGATCACAACCTACAAAATCCTCAGGGGAATCGACCGGGTAAACAAGGATAAACTATTCAACACTGGCGGGACGCGAACAAGGGGAAACAGGTGGAAACTGAGTACCCACATGAGCCACAGGGACGTTAGAAGGAACTTTTTCAGTGTCAGAGTAGTTAACGGATGGAATGCATTAGGCAGTGATGTGGTGGAGGCTGACTCCATACACAGTTTTAAATGTAGATATGATAGAGCCCAGTAGGCTCAGGAACCTGTACACCAGTTGATTGACAGTTGAGAGGCGGGACCAAAGAGCCAAAGCTCAACCCCCGTAAGCACAAATAGGTGAGTACACACACACACACACGCCGGTGGCTGTGTCAGTAGCACGCTGGTCACGTAATCCTGTGACCTGGGTTCGATTCCCGGCGTCGGCGAGAAACAATGGGCAGAGTTTCTTCCACCCTGCTACCCCTATTACTTAGCAGTAAATAGGTACCTGGGAGTTAGACAGCTGAAACGGGCTGATTCCTGGGGGGAAGGTGCATGTTAGAGAGAAATATATGTAGCAGGCATAAAAGAAGAAAATATGATTGGTTAGAAAGGCGGGGTCCAAGAGCTTAATAGCTGGGTTCTGCAGACACACATAGTAAATACAAATAATAACCCCACACACAGTAACTCACAGGTAAAGGGGACGATGGTGGTGGTGGAGTGGTGTCGGGGGTTGAGGACATAACAGGCGCCGCGCCCTTGCAGGGACAGGCTCAACTGGTTCCTGGGGTACCGCGGGGCGCACGCCTGCAACCACAGAGATTTGGTATTAGTATCCGGGAGGTACTGCATGGTGCATGCTCCTGATACTGGTACACGCTCCTGATATTAGTAGCTAAGGGGAGGGAAAATCTCTCAGCCTGCTAACAGGAGTCAGCAGTCGGCTATTCCTGTACCACATGTGTTAAAAAAAGGGTACACTAGTGTATATACACCGAAAAGCAGGATACACCTCTCAGTGTATATACACCGAGAAGCAGGATACACCTCTCAGTGTATATACACCGAGAAGCAGGATACACCTCTCAGTGTATATACACAGAGAAGCAAGGTATATACCACTCAGTGTGAACACCCCCATCCACCCTACTCACCACAAGCTTGGCCTCTACACCCTTGGAGGTGTAAAGACTCTCCCCGAACCCGATGCCTTGCGACTGTATAGACTCCCCCCACCAAGCAGCTTGCTGACTCTTATCTGTTGACGATTAAAAAGAACTGTAAAGGAATGAGAGAGAGAGAGAGAGAGAGAGAGAGAGAGAGAAGACAAATGATGTAATACAGGAATTTGGAGAGTGAGGAAGCTTCTATTATATGCGTAGACCTATTATATTCGCCATAATAGGTGTATGTACGCCCTAATATTCTGGAGTCTCTCACCATGTGTGGAGAGGATGGGGAGGGAGGGGTCGACGTCACACTGGCCGCTGGAGGCGTCACAGAGGTGGAGGTTCCCCAGCGGGAGCGTCATGTTGCCTGCTGTGGTATTCCTTCCCCGGGGCGCCCCTACCACCAGCCTGCAGCCACAGGAAGGGCGTGGTTAGCGTGTGTGTTGCTGTGGTTTGGGGACCGACCGGGGTCCAGGGGGACTGTGGTAGGCCGTAATTTGTGTGGTATAATCAAGGAATAAATTATTCTGTACATTCTGAAGTGATACACAATAGAGCTGGGTTCGAAGCTCAACTTGATATTTGGATTCCGCTCCATAGTGTTGGTTGTGAAATTCAAAGACCAAAACAGATAAAACAAAGCAAACCTGTGTATTATAACGTCCGGGGCGTTGTTTTGAGGATATTACAAGCCAAAATATCATCATTATTTTGAATGTCTTTATTTTGTGAATTATCAGCAAGTGGGAATTATATCATTTAACACGGAAAGTTACCTGTAGCCCTGAGTGTGGCTGTGCCACAGTGCCACGCTGTAGCCGAAGTTGGTCTGGTTGGGTCCAGGGACTACCAGGCCCAGGTCTGTATGGAGGTTAAACCCTTCTACAACCTTCACCACCATCACCACCATCATCACCGTCACCATCATCTTCGTCATCACCATCCTGGTGACCGGCCGGAGCCCTGATCCTGAGGGAATTAGTTGAGTAGATTATTCTCTTCATGGTGGCAAATATATACACTGAGAGGTGTACCCTGCTTCTCGGTGTATATATACACTGTACCCACATGTGTTAAAGGTGTATATATACACCTCTCAGTGTATATATACACTGAGAGGTGTACCCTGCGTCTCGGAGTGCACAGTATATGTACTCAGACCTCTCTGATAGGACCACCTCAAAATTTAAGTCTGGAGCAATATTGCTCCAGACTTATCGGATATCCTTCTAAGTCCCCCCTCCCCCCCCCTCCCCCCACTTCAACCTCTATATATTTGGCCGTGTTTGAGTGTATATCCTTCAGCTCCTGGAACCCGCCTTTCGTCCTCCCTCTTTCTCTCGTTTAAACTTGAAGACTCTGGCAGTTATTGTCGTATTTGGTGATTCGGTGTTGATACAAAATGACCCGGGTTCGTGTCGTTACTTTAACAAGCCTGACATCTTCAGAACATTCTGTGGTACAAGCCTGACATCTTCAGAACATTCTGTGGTACAAGCCTGACATCTTCAGAACATTCTGTGGTACAAGCCTGACATCTTCAGAACATTCTGTGGTACAAGCCTGACATCTTCAGAACATTCTGTGGTACAAGCCTGACGTTTCCATGTATATTTTTGGCAGAGTAGCTTGTGTAGGATTTACATATTTACACTACATTATTTATTTACATTTACATGATTGTAAATGATGAACTGAGATGTAAACGCCATTTTACACTGTCCTTTATCATATATACCCGCCAGGTTGCCGGCACGCGCGTGCATCAAACACTATCTCTGCACGCGAGGGAGTTATCAATTGTCGTCCCCGGGGCGTTATCATCCGAGAGGAAGCTTGGAATCCTTACGCAAAGCTGCCGGCGTTTCGTTATCGTGTTTACGCCGGCGTGAGCGCAATCTTCAAGAGGTCGAACGTGTGTCTGTGTGTGTGTGTAGGCTATCTTGAAGGTTAATGTCATGCTTCCGTTAAGCGGTTAACGCCACCACCACCACCACCACTCTCCCTTACATGTAAGGGGAGTCTGTAGAGTGTAGCCTTTTAGTCTAATGGTCCAGTTGTGCAGTTGAATAGTCTTGTAGCATAGTTATGCGGTTGCCTGGCAGTGTAGTAGTGTAGTGATCTAATAGTCCTATTGCAAGTATCGTAGTTGTCTAATGTGGCTTAGTTGCCAAGCAAATTGAAAGTCAGAAATGCCTAGTTGTCAACTAGAAACTCAATGAGGATATAATCACTTAATTTAATAGTGTGTTTAGGGCAATAGCTCTAGACTTGTCAGTGAAGGACTTAGCAGCTCTGTAGTTTTTTGGCATGGGAGCGAGTACAGAGGTGTTTATTACAGATATATTATCATGGGAGAGAGAGAGAGAGCCTCTGAGACACGATGACAGTCATACAGTTTGGGCGTTTCTTGTTTAAGGTCGTTAGAGCACATGTTAAAGAACCATCTTAACTCCCATTTTTTTTTTTTTAGTTTTCTTACTGTTATCTCGACCATTACAGGAGGCTACAGTGTGCAGGTGTTCAACATTAGGGGCAGGGTGTATGCAGGTGTCACAAACACCTGTAGCTTAATCAGTTTCAGTCACATCTGTTCTGAATACACCTGTCTTGTACAGCATTCAATATATCTCTTTGAAAACATTGCATATATTATGGGGCCCAGAGGAAATATTCGCCACGTTCTTTAAGTCTTTTGCATGAACTTTATATTTTCTAATTTCACCCCTAAAGTCATTAATCTATTTTTCTTGAAAGGGTCTCGGCAACCTTTAACCTCACAATATTATCTGTCTCTTTCTTAATCGTCTTTATAGCTTGATGACATTTATCCGTGATGCTGCGTCTGATCTGAAGTAAGCAGCCATCTCTGGGACGGCCAGCATCTCTCCATTGGTTATGACATCAGATCTATTTTGGGCGTCTTATTAATTTAGTGTAATGGTTGTAACCAGGCAGCCTGCCTCTCCGTGGGTGTTCTAGGAGGGATGCTATCTTCACCCGACCTAATTACCATTAACATGATACTTGTAACAACGCGTAATTGCGACGTAATCACGTAATCACGTTAGTGTGATCTCTGTGTGTAACGTAATTGAGACTTCTGCTGACTGTGCTGGGTTGGACATGTATATAAGTTGGATTGGGTGATTATAAATATGAGCTGCCTCGTATGTGTTGGACGCAGTTGGACGCACATTGGTCACACACGTGGTGACCATTAATACCCTCATCTCAACTGGATATATCGACTGCATAGTCAAATACGGAGTCAGCAGAACTGCAGAAGAAGAATCACGCAGAAACACCTCCCACCATCAGACCATCTCCAGCAGCAGAGCCGGACACACACATTATCTCGTGGCCCAATTGAGATATATTTATATTATATAATAAAGAAGAAAAAGCAACAAGCGTTTGGTACCCCGTTCCTCCCCGCTACCAAACTACAACCATAACCAACACAGCTGATAATATATAGGCCAATAAGCCTACTGCAGTTACCTTTATTCTTATGTTCTTAAATTACACTGAAGACTAGTGCAGGCAATGACCTCTGATGGAATTTGCATATTATCAAATTCTCCGTAAAGGCGGCATTTGACCTTATTCAGGTCACCAACAGTGTCTTGCCTCCTAGTTTAGACGAAGGAGAGCTATCAGGAGGACCTCGGGGACGTTGGTCCTCGGGAACCATTGTAAGGTAACCCTAATGTACGTAGGTCAGGGAGGGTAGCACTGTTGGTAGCTGAGGTCAGGGAGGGTGGCACTGTTGGCAGCTGAGGTCAGGGAGGGTGGCACTATTGGTAGCTGAGGTCACATCAATACGTACCTTTAACATCTATGAAGGAAAAGGCGGACCGTACCGTTGGCAGCTGAGGACAGAACGGACGATACTGGTGGAAGCGAGGCAAAGCACAACACTGGTATGTAGAGACAAGACTCAGGCTACCGGATAAGCCTATCCTCTAGTCTTACAGGCTGCAAGATACAGCTATCATGTAATCTCTACAACCCAGCAAGTCCTTACCACTAAACCATACAAGTTGTGATACATTAGGAGAGATAAAAGACGCAGGAATAATGACGTTTTCTATGCCTTAGATGTTCAACTCGTTCCTATCTCTTCTTGGTTACTTTTAGTGAGATGTCTCCGGTACTCTCTACTCATATGTAATCGTTCTCATACCATTTTATTATATTTTTTTCTGAGGGTTACGTCGCCCAATCGCACGGCGCGGAACTCTGAGACAGCTCTCAATGCAACCCGTCCTCTTAAAAATAACGTTACTTTTGGCTCGTATGCGCGCTATGGCCAAATTTGGACGTAATTTGAAATGAAATCGACTCACAAAAGTGACGTACTGTTCCGTTTTCTGTTCGAGTCGTCCGGCTTACTCGACAAGCTTAGAAGAGGCAACTTTTCATTAACGTTTTTCATACCATTTTGAAACTTTATGGCAATTTCCTGCCCACCTAACCTATCAGAGGACCCTTAACTTACTGTTGTTGAAAAAAAAATCCCAAATTTATTTTCATTTTCAAATTACGTCCATATTCGGCCATACGGGCAAACGGCCAAAAGCGACGTTCTTTTTAAGAGGACAGGTTGTTGAGTGGTTATTAAGGTCATCAACAAATGTATCAATGTCTTCTGGGATTTGGTATTCCGTGAATCAGTCACTCATATCTGCTCCGAGTGATAACCTTTTTCTTTGATTTGTCTCTTTCCTTCTCTTGCTCATGTTGACGGTGGTAATCAGTGCTCAGTGGTCACTACATAGCCTGTGTACGTTGTGTGTGTACTGGCATCCGGGTCCTGTGCATTCAGCTGCAACCCGTTCTCGCAAATTTAATAAGTCAATATTGACTTATTAAATATGTGCATAGGTGACATACTTAACATAATAGATACCCTTAAAAAGATTCATAGAAAACACCGACCTTACCTAACCTTGTTAGTATCTTAAGATAAGCATCTTATTGCTTCGTAATTACAATTATTACCTAACCTATAATAGGTATAGGTTAAGTAATAATTGTAATTACGAAGCAATAAGATGCTTATCTTAAGATACTAACAAGGTTAGGTAAGGTCGGTGTTTTCTATGAATCTTTTTAGGGGTATCTATTATGTTTAGTATATCACCTATGCACGTAGTTAATAAGTCAATATTGACTTTACGAATTTGCGAGAACGGGTTGTCTTGTTCTTCTCAGACCTGGTCATGTTATTGTCCTCTGAGGTGTTCATCTTGTTCTTCTCAGAGCTGGTCATGTTATTGTCCTCTGAGGTGTTCATCTTGTTCTTCTCAGAGCTGATCATGTTATTGTCCTCTGAGGTGTTCATCTTGTTCTTCTCAAAGCTGGTCATGTTATTGTCCTCTGAGGTGTTCATCTTGTTCTTCTCAGAGCTGATCATGTTATTGTCCTCTGAGGTGTTCATCTTGTTCTTCTCAAAGCTGGTCATGTTATTGTCCTCTGAGGTGTTCATCTTGTTCTTCTCAGAGCTGGTCATGTTATTGTCCTCTGAGGTGTTCATCTTGTTCTTCTCAAAGCTGGTCATGTTATTGTCCTCTGAGGTGTTCATCTTGTTCTTCTCAAAGCTGGTCATCTCGTTCTTGTCGAAGGTGTCCATCTTGTTCTCAGTTATTCATCTTGTTCTGCTCAGAGTTGTTCATTTTGTTCTTCATATAACAATGAATAACAATAATATTAACAACTAACAACATCAGGTTAAAGTGTATACACTATATACATGTTATACAGTGTATATACCACTGTATAAAGTGTATGTGGCGCAGTAGTCTACGTCCTCGACTCACAATTGAGGATCCCTTTCCCCAGGCAGGACAGAGACAATTGTCCCTCTGCATATGTATCTATATATATATGTGTATATATATATATATATATATATATATATATATATATATATATATATATATATATATATATATATATAATGTGAACTAGGTGTGTGACGTCAACATGACGTCAGCATGGCGTCACCACTTTCATGACGTCACAGGTTATAGACCCCTGCTAGAAAGGCAAAAAAAAAAAAAGAGCTCGCCGGCAACTGTACGACAACTGCCGTAGGCTGAGTATAAAAAGGTGGGGTCCAGGCCGTTGCCGGTTCAGAACACCTCTAGACGAGACTCAGGGAAGGAAGGGTGTATCCTCTTCTTACAAGCTCTCATTAACACTCACACAGCTGATACACTCTCATAGGCGCCTTAAACACACACTCTCTCGGCTTCCATCCTACAGTAACGAGTCCTGTAATGCTGGAAGCTTCACAACCATGCGTCTATCGGCAGTGTTAAGCTTGGGTGTGGTGTTGACACTCGTGGTACTCCCAGCTCCAGAGTGCCACGGGCAGGAGATCTTGCAGTCTCTGCTTGGTGCCGTCACTCAGCAACTGGTCGGGTGAGTAACTCCACTCAGCAGCTGATAGGGTCCGTGTGAGTGTGTCTCTCCGTCTGTCTGTTTGTCTCCACAGACAATCACCCAGGAGATTATAGGCGAGCTTAAAGGACACTTGCTGTTAATAAAGTCTTCTACAAACACAGGTTAAGTGTGTGCCTCTCCCTCGCCACAAGTGCGTTCACGCCCTCCAAGAGTGTCTCACAGTTGGCCAGAGTGCAGTATAGTGTGTCGTGAGTGTGTTAAACAACCCGGCCCACTTGTAAGAGAAGAAAGGGGACAACTTTTGCAACCGCTTTGCAACGTGGTCTGTCCTGGATCACGTTGAACCATAAGGGTCCGTTATTATTCTTAATCTCTCGTTAATTATATTACTTTTCAATTGCTCTCACGTTTGACTGTTGATAGTTATTAATTCACTTGGACTGGACGATATAGAACGACGGTCTCACTCTATGCAGGTCGGCGTTCAATCCCCCCGACCGTCCGATCTAGGGTGGCCATACTGGGAGCCACTGAACTTTTATCAATGAGTTGATTATATATATATATATATATATATATATATATATATATATATATATTAGTATATTTTGGTAGCAGTCTTTCCTGTAGACATATATTATTAAATATGACCGAAAAAGTAAGATTAATAATTCTAACACGAATTTTCTCAATGTTTCTTATATTTTTCTTCACTGTTGATGGTAACTGAAAAATCAATTCTCCAAAATTCATTTTTATTTCTAGTCTGACGCGACACTTGAGCGCGTTTCGTAAAACTTATTACATTTTCAAAGACTTTAGTTTGCACAGACACAACTATAACTGAACAGAGCTTAAACATCTTCGATTTTATACCTGCATTTGGGTGAGGTGATATGTTACAACAGTTACAACTGTTGTAACATATCAAGGCCTATATCACGGCCTTGCGCCCATGGCGAGTGGGAACTTCAGCCTTACCTCACGGCCGGACTTGCCCGCCGTAACAATGGGTAAACACACAGGTGAATCTTGTCCACTCACCCGTATTCAAGGTCGCCAGCCGGGCACCTGTATTCACGTCCCAGCAACACTTCTCAGTGGTCTTATTATCATAAGCCAAGGATACAATGCTACATATAATTCAGTGCAATATTAAAAACTTACTCATCTCACCCTGGAGATGGAAAGCTCACACAGTGGTAAAAAATGATGTTTACTGGAGAAAACTGCATGAATCCGCATAGTAAATAATATGGGCTGTCAGACGACGGCAACACTCCTCACTCCGACACTGGCAACACAGCTGGATAGTTTAAACGCTTCACTCATGGTCTCTTGTTAACCAGCCACTTCCTCTAGTTACCACAAAATGTCACTACACCCACACACATAAATTAGCTCATGTATATATGTATAACCTGGCACATAGCCTTAACCTACCACACTGGCAGTAATAGTAAAGACAATGATCACGACATGAATAATACTCTAGCTCACCTAGACCAAGGGATAATGGGAGGAAATTTATCTACCTTAAATCTCTCTTCTACAAAGTCGACATATCCTCTGGCGATGGTTGCTGAGGTCCTCTGTCCTGGTGGTCGGTCCCCCGGTGATCAAGGTCCGGAACACACAAGGTCCTTAGACGACTTGTAGAAGCGCGTCCTCTCCGTGCGCACTCCCTGAAGGCAGGTCCTCTACCTCCTTGGCACTAAAGGCATGTCCCTGCGCACGTCGTCTCCCTTCTCCCACACTGGAACTGTAGACAAACTTGCAGTCTGGTTCAGTGTCCCCTTCTCAATCTTCCAGTGAACTTGACCCAGTCACAGCAGCTCGCTTGATGTGTCTGAACGCGGCCCGCAGGGCCTCCACACGACCCAGCGCCAACGTTCACCTCCGCCGCAGACTATCAGCCAAAGAGCTCTTGCCGGTCTAACACCAACTAAATCCTGCTTCATGTACTCCCCAGGAGTCAACTAATCTTCCTCGACGTCTGTATTATCAATACGGCCGCTTGGGTCCACTGGCTGGGGCTTCCTAGCCTCCAAGCTGGGAGCTAACTTGAGCGTGTCTACGCTCAGTGACGGGCAGTGACTCTCTGAGTGCCGCAGGGCATCGGACCGCCCGGATCATTCTTCCCTGTGACGTCACACCACCCAAGGGCGCCGCGCTATTGGTCAATCCCGTCACGTGACCTTACCTGGCCAATCACCATACAGCTGGCGTCAGGCTCCTTTGGCGGGAAACTTCTTGCCTCGGCACCATCTTGTAACACAAAAGAGCGTAAGGCACTTGTAACGCCAAAACTAAAACTGCAAATTTATCTCCCATACAATAACTTTGAATACCTTTATATATATCAAAATATTCCCTGAACATCAGAGAACGTGCATGTTGAAGAGTTATGACTATGCCGGGATAGGAAAGATATAGGGTGGAACACGGTTACAATATATAATATTATATATATATATATATATATATATATATATATATATATATATATATATATATATATATATATATATATATATATATATATATATATATATATATGTATCTACCTATATTTTCAAAGCGGGCCACTGTAGCTAAACCACATGAGATAGAATTTTTTTCATTTTTGTCCTTCTTTGATACTAATTAATAATGTCAAAGAAACAAATATTTGTTGTCAGAACAATTTATTTGATATACACCTGGGTGTTGCATGGTAGAATCGTTTGAGCAGCAGTAGGCTCGCTAGGCCCCATTCCTTTCCTCCGTCCTATCCTTCCCTTCCAAGGATAATAACCCCTTCCAAGTATTATTTACTCGTAATGGCTGAGTGCATTTTCCTGGTTATTGTTGCTGTTATTAAAGATTCGCTACTTGGAACTTTTTGTTCCAAGTAGCACGGGCTATGGTGAGCCCGTAGTGGACTTTTCCCGGTTATTACCTTCTTTGTTTTCAAACTACAGTTGGGCATGGACTAATGTGGTAATTGCTCCGGTAGGTTGTGGAAGAACGGTGAGGTGGAGCTCCTGGGCCACTACTGTCAGTACTCTGTCTCTCCCAAGTTCAAGAGTTTCGAGCTGTATTTCAGAGGCAGGATGACCTGTCCAGGCTGGACCCCAATCAGAGGAGAAGGTTTGTATTTACTAGCTGTTAGGTCTTGAACCCTCGCTTGTCTAATGTAGTGACTACCGTCCTTGTCTCTCTCTCTCTCTCTCTCTCTCTCTCTCTCTCTCTCTCTCTCTCTCTCTCTCTCTCTCTCTCTCTCTCTCTCTCTCTCTCTCTCTCTCTCTCTCTCTCTCTCTCTCTCACCTAGTTTCTCTATAATCTTTCTCACTCACACACACACAGGATTGAGGATAACGAGGAGGATTAAGATAGAGGAAGATAGTATAAGGTTAGAAGATGACCCTAGACAAACTGAAGGAATGGTCCAACAAATGGCTACTAACGTTCAACCCGAGTAAATGTAAGGTAATGAAACTAGGCGGAGGAAACAGGAGGCCAGACACTGGATACTGAATAGGAGATGAAGTCCTTCATGGAACGGACAGAGAGAAGGATCTAGGAGTTGATATCACACCAAATCTGTCTCCTAAAGCCCACATAAAAAGAGTAACGTCTGCGGCATATGCGAGGCTGGCTAACATCAGAACTGCCTTCAGAAACCTGTGTAAGGAATCATTCAAAATCTTGTATACCACATATGTAAGACCAATCCTGGAGTATGCGGCCCCAGCATGGAGCCCGTACCTTGTCAAGTACAAGACGAAGCTGGAAAAAGTTCAGAGGTCTGCCACTAGGCTAGTCCCAGAACTAAGAGGCATGAGTTACGAGGAAAGACTGTGGGAAATGCACCTCACGTCGCTGGAGGACAGAAGAGCTCAGGGAAACATGATCACCACATACAAAATTCTCAGGGCAATTGACAGGGTAGACAAGAATGGATTATTTAACACGGGTGGTACACGCACAAGGGGACACAGGTGGAAGTTGAGTAAGAAAGAAATTAGAGACAATGTCTTTCTGAGACATTAGAAAGAACATTTTCAGTGTCAGAGTAGTTAGTAAATGGAATATACTAGGAAGGGATGTGGTGGAGGATGACTCCATACACAGTTTCAAGTGTAGATATGATAGAGCCCAGTAGGCTCAGGAATCTGTACACCAGTAGATTGACGGTTGAGCGACGGGACCAAAGAGCCAGAGCTCAACCCCCACAAGCACGACTAGGTGAGTACACACATTCCCAGGATGCAGCCTACAACAGCGGTCCAACTACACGGTACCTGTTGACTGCGTGGTGAACAGAGGTATCAGCTGAGAGAAATTCAGCCCAATTGTTATGCCTCGGCTGGGAATCGAACCCGGATCCGTGGACTGCAAATCGCGAACGCCGTCCGCTCGGCCGTGAGACCTACATTGTGTTGCTGTAAAGGATGGAGTAACACGTTGTTGTTGTTGTTGTTGTTGTTGTTGTTGAAGGTGTAACATTATCGCTATCCTGTCTAACACCATCATCTTGGACTGCTCGGTAGAACAACGGCATTGGTTAGGTTAATACCATATAATAATATAATACCCACCTAACCTAACCAATGAACAAATCCACAAGGGCCGTGACGAGGATTCGAACCTGCGTCCGGGAGCATCCCAGACGCTGCCTTAATCGAACAAATCGCCCTTGTGGATTTGTTCATTTGATGCATCACTTTATTGTGATTTCTGTGTTTATCCTAACCACGTAAGGTTAGGTTAGGTCAGGTCAAGTCAACGTAAAGTTTGGGTAGGTCAGGTTAGGTTAGGTTAGGTTAGGTTAGGTTAGGTCAGGTCAGGTCAACGTAAAGTTTGGGTAGGTCAGGTTAGGTTAGGTTAGGTTAGGTTAGGTTAGGTCAGGTCAACGTAAAGTTTGGGTAGGTCAGGCTAGGTTAGGTTAGGTCAAGTCAACGTAAAGTTTGGGTAGGTCAGGTTAGGTTAGGTTAGGTTAGGTTAGGTTAGGTTAGGTTAGGTTAGGTCAAGTCAACGTAAAGTTTGGGTAGGTCAGGTTAGGTTAGGTTAGGTTAGGTTAGGTTAGGTCAGGTCAACGTAAAGTTTGGGTAGGTCAGGTTAGGTTAGGTTAGGTTAGGTCAGGTCAACGTAAAGTTTGGGTAGGTCAGGTTAGGTTAGGTTAGGTTAGGTCAGGTCAACGTAAAGTTTGGGTAGGTCAGGTTAGGTTAGGTTAGGTCAGGTCAACGTAAAGTTTGGGTAGGTCAGGTTAGGTTAGGTTAGGTTAGGTTAGGTTAGGTTAGGTCAGGTCAACGTAAAGTTTGGGTAGGTTAGGTTAGGTTAGGTTAGGTTAGGTTAGGTCAGGTCAACGTAAAGTTTGGGTAGGTCAGGTTAGGTCAGGTCAACGTAAAGTTTGGGTAGGTCAGGTTAGGTTAGGTTAGGTCAGGTCAACGTAAAGTTTGGGTAGGTCAGGTCAACGTAAAGTTTGGGTAGGTCAGGTTAGGTCAGGTCAACGTAAAGTTTGGGTAGGTCAGGTTAGGTTAGGTTATGTCAGGTCAACGTAAAGTTTGGGTAGGTCAGGTCAACGTAAAGTTTGGGTAGGTCAGGTTAGGTCAGGTCAACGTAAAGTTTGGGTAGGTCAGGTTAGGTTAGGTTAGGTCAGGTCAACGTAAAGTTTGGGTAGGTTAGGTCAGGTCAACGTAAAGTTTGGGTAGGTCAGGTTGGATATTCGGTTAAGCGAACAGCTAAGAACACAGATTTGTACATTGTCTGATTTTGCCTTTGTTTGTGTGATGGCGCAGCTGAGAGCAGGAGTAGTACGGGCATCCTGGCGGCCACCACCGCTGACTTTGTGAACAAGGCCTTCCAAGCCGGCCTCATCACGGAGGACGACGCCAAGCGCTGGCTCAACTAGAGGTCGGCGTTCAATCCCCGACCGTCCAAGTGGTTGAGCACCATTCCTGTCCCTCCGTCCCATCCCCTAACCTTATCCTGACCCCTTCCCAGTGCTATATAGTCGTAATGGCTTGGCGCTTTCCCCCCTGATAATTCCTTCCTTCTCACACACACACACACACACACACACACACACACACACACACACACACACACACACACACACACACACACACACACACACACACACACGGACCAAAGAGCCAGAGCTCAACCCCCGCAAACACAACTAGGTGAGTACAACTAGGTGAGTACACACACACACACACACACACACACACACACACACACACACACACACACACACACACACACACACACACACACACACACACACACACACACACACTACGCCATTCACTACAAAAACACAGATACAAAACTCTAAAAGAACCCTACACAACTCTACAAAAGTATGATATTACACGTTGCTCATGAGATGCATAATAACCAAATGTGCACTATTGCACAGGGTCAATACCCACCATTTTGTACTACTGAATAACAGGAATCTTCCAAAAACCGCGTAACTGGAACGAAGAAATAACAAAGAAAATGGAAACCTAATTTACCGTAGACCTAACTAAACGTGCCCCCCCCCCCAGGCCTAACACCTTGCATAGGCACTATTTTTAACCGTACGAAAGTCTGCGATAGTTAGGCTTAGCATAGGTTTTGTTAACCCTATGGTAGGTTTTCGTTCCTAATAGTACAAGAAGAAGTAGATTATAACTCATGTGCAATAGAACAAATTGCGTATATTTCTATAGATATTATTGCGAAACTGGTTGATGGACTTATGCAACTGACTCTATAAGATCTTTAACTGCTTTATACAGCTCTATACCTGTTTAATACAATATTTTTGTCTTTATATGAATTTGAATTGTGCTTAAGACTTTGTACAGTCAATTATATATGTATTTCTGTTAATAAAGGTATTGTATTCTATGGTTTTAATAATGCTTTATTAAATGCAGCCTCTTACTGTCCCGTGGCTACTTGATAGAGCTGTCACTGTGACCTCGACAGTATCGTCTATCTAACAGTCTCGTATATACACACTCACTAAGATATCACTCAATGGCGTGACCAGTTTATATAACTGGTAAAGATGTACCCAACATGACTGGTAAAGATGCACTCAACATAACTGGTAAAGATGCACTCAACATAATTGGTAAAGACACACTCAACATAACTGGTAAAGATGTACTCAACATAACTGGTAAAGATGCACTCAACATAACTGATAAAGACGCACTCAACATAACTGATAAAGACACACTCAACATAACTGGTAAAGATGCACTCAACATAACTGGTAAAGACACACTCAACATAACTGGTAAAGACACACTCAACATAACTGGTAAAGACACACTCAACATAACTGGTAAAGACACACTCAACATAAATGGTAAAGACACACTCAACATAACTGGTAAAGACACACTCAACATAACTGGTAAAGACACACTCAACATAACTGGTAAAGACACACTCAACATAACTGGTAAAGGCACACTCAACATAAATGGTAAAGACACACTCAACATAACTGGTAAAGACACACTCAACATAACTGGTAAAGACACACTCAACATAACTGGTAAAGACACACTCAACATAACTGGTAAAGACACACTCAACATAACTGGTAAAGACACACTCAACATAACTGGTAAAGAGGAATATGTTGATATGTTGCTAGACATGTTTGACCCCCACCAGTAGGCTTACATCGGCCTGAACACGTGGGGACTTTCAACCTTGTAAACAAATTCATTTACTTTCTACGAGTGCTTTGATAAAACAGATAATTTCATAATTACTGTTCGAGGTGACTGTTGTGTACATAGGACTACGGTGAATACAGGACTACGGTGTACATAGGACTCCAGGGTACACAGGTGTATACAGGACTACGGTGTACATAGGACTCCAGGGTACACAGGTGTATACAGGACTACTTACGTAGAACGATGTTCCGTAGCCTAATCTGTCCTTACCGAATGGTTGAGTGCTTGGGTGGAATTAATGTTTTTGATGAATTAAAATTTTTATTGTAAATAATTTATCTGACGTATCCATGTTTGTTAAATTGATTTATATTGATTCACAAATATATTGTATGTGTATCATATATATATTATATATCATTTATATATAAATTTATATATTATATGGATTTCTCCTCATCTTTATGGGACTTGAAGCTGGCAGAATTCTTGATGTTATATTTTAAGAGATTTTTATATTATCAATCGTATTTAAAACTCCTCTTATACACGCTCGCGCGCGCACACACACACACACACACACACACACACACACACACACACACACACACACACACACACACACACACACACACACACACACACACACACACACACAGGCAGGAGTACTCCAGTGGATAAGGGAGTACAAGCAAGGAAACAGCGAGTAACGGTGAGGGGGAGACATCAGAGTGGCGAGATGTCACCAGCGGAGTCCCACAGGGCTCAGTACTTGGACCCATCCTGTTTCTAATATATGTGAACGATCTTCCAGAGGGTATAGACTCATTCCTCTCGATGTTTGCTGATGATGCAAAAATTATGAGAAGAATCAAGACGGATGAAGATAGACAGAGACTACAGGATGACCTGGATAAACTGGAGGAATGGTCTAGAAAATGGCTGCTAAAGTTCAACTCGGGAAAGTGTAAGGTGATGAAATTAGGCGAAGGGAGCAGGAGGCTGAACACAAGGTATCATCTGGGAGGGGAAATCCTGCAAGAATCAAATAGAGAGAAGGATCTGGGGGTTGATATCACACCGAACCTGTCCCCAGAGGCCCACATCAAAAGAATATCATCAGCGGCATATGCTAGACTGGCCAACATAAGAACTGCCTTCAGAAACTTGTGTAAGGAATCTTTCAGAACCCTGTATACCACTTATGTAAGACCAATCCTGGAGTATGCAGCTCCAGCCTGGAGTCCATACCTAGTTAAACACAAGACAAAGTTAGAGAAGATTCAGCGGTATGCCACCAGGCTCGTCCCGGAACTGAGAGGATTGAGCTACGAGGAAAGGCTAAAGGAGCTGAACCTCACATCCCTAGAAAACAGAAGAGTAAGGGGAGACATGATAACCACCTACAAAATTCTCAGGGGAATTGACAGGGTGGACAAAGACAAACTCTTCAGCACGGGTGGGACACGAACAAGGGGACACAGGTGGAAACTTAGTACCCAGATGAGCCACAGAGACGTTAGAAAGAATTTTTTCAGTGTCAGAGTAGTTAATAAATGGAATGCACTAGGAAGTGATGTGGTGGAGGCTGACTCCATACACAGTTTCAAATGTAGATATGATAGAGCCCAATAGGCTCAGGAATCTGTACACCAGTTGATTGACGGTTGAGAGGCGGGACCAAAGAGCCAGAGCTCAACCCCCGCAAGCACAATTAGGTGAGTACAATTAGGTGAGTACAGTACACACACACACACACACACAGTACACACACACAAACACACAGTACACACACACACACACACACACACAGTACACACACACACACACACAGTACACACACACACACACACAGTACACACACACACACACACACACACACACACACACACACACACACACACACACAAGGTACGGCCCCAGCATGGAGCCCGTACCTTGTCAAGCACAAGACGAAGCTGGAAAAAGTCCAAAGGTATGCTACTAGACTAGTCCCAGAACTAAGAGGCATGAGTTATGAGGAAAGGCTGCGGGAAATGCACCTCACGACACTGGAAGACAGAAGAGTAAGGGGGGACATGATCACAACCTACAAAATCCTCAGGGGAATCGACCGGGTAAACAAGGATGAACTATTCAACACTGGTGGGACGCGAACAAGGGGACACAGGTGGAAGCTGAGTACCCAAATGAGCCACAGAGACGTTAGAAAGAACTTTTTCAGTGTCAGAGTAGTTAGTAAATGGAATGCACTAGGAAGTGATGTGGTGGAGGCTGACTCCATACACAGTTTCAAATGTAGATATGATAGAGCCCAATAGGCTCAGGAATCTGTACACCAGTTGATTGACGGTTGAGAGGCGGGACCAAAGAGCCAGAGCTCAACCCCCGCAAGCACAATTAGGTGAGTACAATTAGGTGAGTACACACACACACACACACACACACACACACAGTACACACACACACACACACACACAACCCCGACACTTCCTCCACCGCCTCCACTACCACAACTACCACCACCGCCTCCACTACCACAACTACCACCACCACTACCGCCTCCACTACCACAACTACCACCACCACTACCGCCTCCACTACCACAACTACCACCACCACTACCGCCTCCACTACCACAACTACCACCACCACTACCGCCTCCACTACCACAACTACCACCACCACTACCGCCTCCACTACCACAACTACCACCACCACTGCCGCCTCCACTACCACAACTACCACCACCACTGCCGCCTCCACTACCACAACTACCACCACCACTACCGCCTCCACTACCACAACTACCACCACCACTACCGCCTCCACTACCACAACTACCACCACCACTACCGCCTCCACTACCACAACTACCACCACCACTGCCGCCTCCACTACCACAACTACCACCACCACTGCCGCCTCCACTACCACAACTACCACCACCACTGCCGCCTCCACTACCACAACTACCACAACCACTGCCGCCTCCACTACCACAACTACCACAACCACTGCCGCCTCCACTACCACAACTACCACCACCACTACCGCCTCCACTACCACAACTACCACTGCCTCCAACACTGCTACCACCACCGCCTCCAACACTGCAACTACTGCCTCCAACACTGCAACTACTGCCTCCAATACCACAACCACCACCTCCACCACCACAACACCAAGTGTTGCTAACACTTACATACATGCCAACCGGAGGGGACTACACCCTCCGGCTCAGCGTGGCATCTACCTCCTTATCTCACTAATGGTTACTGCTGACATTCTTCCAGCTGGCACGCACACACCTGTCACCACACACCTGTAACCACCATTCTCAACGCCGTATAATATTAACTCCATACTTACATCTTTACTGCGTTGACAGCTGTCAATAGTTCACCGGCTGTCAACACCATTACCCAAGACGATGCCAGAGCTTCTCCCTCCCCCCCAACACACACACGTGACAAACACCTGTCAACAAACACGTGACAAAACAAGTGTCATGACGTCATCACAGACACCACCAAACAGGGCCATCGTGAATCCTAGACCGAGCAGTGTTGCCTGCAGGCACTCTGCCCTAGTGCTGGCACTCCTGGCTCTCCTGGCACTCTGGCCCCACCTGTGCCACGCTAACAACCTCAGTGCCGAAGTGGCACTCGTTATCGACACAGTTATAAGGTGTGCAATTAATAACATTATCAACATCACCTTTATGTTTATAATTTTGGATATCTTGCCAACGGATATCTCGCACTAATCCATGTTATCCGTCCATGTTATCCAGGTCTGTGAAGGACGGGAGGAGGGACACGTCTATCCCCTTCCAGGGCCGTCCCTGTACCGTCCTGGTCGACTACAGCTCCGGCTCCAGGAGGTGTCCGGTTGAGGCTAGTATGGTCTGTAAGGGCTGGACCAAGGTTAGGGGTGCAGGTACGTATCCTTAAGGGATTGACAGGTACTCTAAGAGAGGGTTAGACGGGTAGGTTAGGAGGGATGGGTGTGGATACTAGTAAGGGGGGATAGATAGATACATTGAGGATAGATAGATGTATCGGGAGACATGTATATATATATTAGAGACAGATAGACACTATATTCTCTCGTTTATAGAGGATATTGTTAAGGTATTACTCCTCATATCTTGCCTCACAACACTCACCTGCCTCACTACACCCCCCTGCCTCACAACACCCCCCTGCCTCACAACACCCCCCTGCCTCACAACACCCCCCCCTGCCTCACAACACCCCCCCTGCCTCACTACACCCCCCTGCCTCACAACACCCCCCCCCTGCCTCACAACACTCACCTGCCTCACAACACCCCCCCTGCCTCACAACACTTACCTGCCTCACAACACTCACCTGCCTCACTACACCCCCCTGCCTCACAACACCCCCCCCCTGCCTCACAGCACCCCCTGCCTCACAACACTCACTGCCTCACTACACCCCCCTGCCTCACAACACCCCCCTGCCTCACAACACTCACCTGCCTCACTACACCCCCCCTGCCTCACAACACTCACCTGCCTCACAACACTCACCTGCCTCACTACACCCCCCTGCCTCACAACACTCACCTGCCTCACAACACTCACCTGCCTCACTACACCCCCCTGCCTCACAACACTCACCTGCCTCACAACACTCACCTGCCTCACTACACCCCCCTGCCTCACAACACTCACCAGCCTCACAACACTCACCTGCCTCACTACACCCCCCTGCCTCACAACACCCCCCTGCCTCACAACACTCACCTGCCTCACAGCACCCCCCTGCCTCACAGCACCCCCCCTGCCTCACAACACTCACCTGCCTCACAACACCCCCCCTGCCTCACAACACTCACCTGCCTCACAACACCCCCCCCCTGCCTCACAGCACCCCCCCTGCCTCACAACACCCCCCCTGCCTCACAACACTCACCTGCCTCACTACACCCCCCTGCCTCACAACACCCCCCCTGCCTCACAGCACCCCCCTGCCTCACAACACTCACCTGCCTCACTACACCCCCCTGCCTCACAACACTCACCTGCCTCACTACACCCCCCTGCCTCACAACACTCACCTGCCTCACAACACTCACCAGCCTCACTACTCACCACAGCCTCACTACTCACCACAGCCTCACTACTCACCACTGCCTCACAACACTCACCAGCCTCACTACTCACCACAGCCTCACTACTCACCACAGCCTCACTACTCACCACAGCCTCACTACTCACCACAGCTTCACTACTCACCACAGCCTCACTACTCACCACAGCCTCACTACTCACCACAGCCTCACTACTCACCACAGCCTCACTACTCACCACAGCCTCACTACTCACCACAGCCTCACTACTCACCACAGCCTCAGGACGCTTCACCAGGAAGGTGGTGACCAACACCGTCCACAACTTCGTCAGGGCCGCCGCGGCCAAGGGCCTCCTGCCTCCGGAGGTGGTCCGTAACGCCTACAGAAAGCACCAACCACTACAGAAGCACCAACCACTACAGATGCACCAACCACTACAGAAGCACCAACCACTACAGATGCACCAACCACTACAAAAGCACCAACCACTACAGATGCACCAACCACTACAGAAGCACCAACCACTACAGAGTGCACCAACCACTACAGAGGCACCAGACCACTACAGAGTGCACCAGACCACTACAGAGTGCACCAGACCACTACAGAGTGCACCAGACCACTACAGAGTGCACCAGACCACTACAGAGTGCACCAGACCACTACAGAGTGCACCAGACCACTACAGAGTGCACCAGACCACTACAGAGTGCACCAGACCACTACAGAGTGCACCAGACCACTACAGAGTGCACCAGACCACTACAGAGTGCACCAGACCACTACAGAGTGCACCAGACCACTACAGAGTGCACCAGACCACTACACAGAGTGCACCAGACCACTACAGACTACAGAGTGCACCAGACCACTACAGAGTGCACCAGACCACTACAGAGTGCACCAGACCACTACAGAGTGCACCAGACCACTACAGAGTGCACCAGACCACTACAGAGTGCACCAGACCACTACAGAGTGCACCAGACCACTACAGAGTGCACCAGACCACTACAGAGTGCACCAGACCACTACAGAGTGCACCAGACCACTACAGAGTGCACCAGACCACTACAGAGTGCACCAGACCACTACAGAGTGCACCAGACCACTACAGAGTGCACCAGACCACTACAGAGTGCACCAGACCACTACAGAGTGCACCAGACCACTACAGAGTGCACCAGACCACTACAGAGTGCACCAGACCACTACAGAGTGCACCAGACCACTACAGAGTGCACCAGACCACTACAGAGTGCACCAGACCACTACAGAGTGCACCAGACCACTACAGAGTGCACCAGACCACTACAGAGTGCACCAGACCACTACAGAGTGCACCAGACCACTACAGAGTGCACCAGACCACTACAGAGTGCACCAGACCACTACAGAGTGCACCAGACCACTACAGAGTGCACCAGACCACTACAGAGTGCACCAGACCACTACAGAGTGCACCAGACCACTATAGAATGCACCACCAAACCTCTACAGACTGCACCAGACGACTGGAGAGTGCACCAGACCACCACAGATTGCACCAGACCACTACAGAGTGCACCAGACCACTACAGAGTGCACCAGACCACTACAGAGTGCACCAGACCACTACAGAGTGCACCAGACCACTACAGAGAGCACCAGACCACTGCAGAGTGCACCAGACAACTACAGACTGCACTAGACCACAGCAGAGTGTACCAGACCACTAGAGAGAGCACCAGACCACTACGGAGTGCACCAGACCACTACAGAGTGCACCAGACCACTACAGAGTGCACCAGACCACTACAGAGTGCACCAGACCACTACAGAGTGCACCAGACCACTACAGAGAGCACCAGACCACTACAGAGTGTACCAGACCACTACAGAGTGCACCAGACCACTACAGAGTGCACCAGACCACTACAGAGTGCACCAGACCACTACAGAGTGCACCAGACCACTACAGAGTGCACCAGACCACTACAGAGTGCACCAGACCACTACAGAGTGCACCAGACCACTACAGAGTGCACCAGACCACTACAGAGTGCACCAGACCACTACAGAGTGCACCAGACCACTACAGAGTGCACCAGACCACTACAGAGTGCACCAGACCACTACAGAGTGCACCAGACCACTACAGAGTGCACCAGACCACTACAGAGTGCACCAGACCACTACAGAGTGCACCAGACCACTACAGAGTGCACCAGACCACTACAGAGTGCACCAGACCACTACAGAGTGCACCAGACCACTACAGAGTGCACCAGACCACTACAGAGTGCACCAGACCACTACAGAGTGCACCAGACCACTACAGAGTGCACCAGACCACTACAGAGTGCACCAGACCACTACAGAGTGCACCAGACCACTACAGAGTGCACCAGACCACTACAGAGTGCACCAGACCACTACAGAGTGCACCAGACCACTACAGAGTGCACCAGACCACTACAGAGTGCACCAGACCACTACAGAGTGCACCAGACCACTACAGAGTGCACCAGACCACTACAGAGTGCACCAGACCACTACAGAGTGCACCAGACCACTACAGAGTGCACCAGACCACTACAGAGTGCACCAGACCACTACAGAGTGCACCAGACCACTACAGAGTGCACCAGACCACTACAGAGTGCACCAGACCACTACAGAGTGCACCAGACCACTACAGAGTGCACCAGACCACTACAGAGTGCACCAGACCACTACAGAGTGCACCAGACCACTACAGAGTGCACCAGACCACTACAGAGTGCACCAGACCACTACAGAGTGCACCAGACCACTACAGAGTGCACCAGACCACTACAGAGTGCACCAGACCACTACAGAGTGCACCAGACCACTACAGAGTGCACCAGACCACTACAGAGTGCACCAGACCACTACAGAGTGCACCAGACCACTACAGAGTGCACCAGACCACTACAGAGAGCACCAGACCACTACAGAGTGCACCAGACCACTACAGAGTGCACCAGACCACTACAGAGTGCACCAGACCACTACAGAGTGCACCAGACCACTACAGAGTGCACCAGACCACTACAGAGTGCACCAGACCACTACAGAGTGCACCAGACCACTACAGAGTGCACCAGACCACTACAGAGTGCACCAGACCACTACAGAGTGCACCAGACCACTACAGAGTGCACCAGACCACTACAGAGTGCACCAGACCACTACAGAGTGCACCAGACCACTACAGAGTGCACCAGACCACTACAGAGTGCACCAGACCACTACAGAGTGCACCAGACCACTACAGAGTGCACCAGACCACTACAGAGTGCACCAGACCACTACAGAGTGCACCAGACCACTACAGAGTGCACCAGACCACTACAGAGTGCACCAGACCACTACAGAGTGCACCAGACCACTACAGAGTGCACCAGACCACTACAGAGTGCACCAGACCACTACAGAGTGCACCAGACCACTACAGAGTGCACCAGACCACTACAGAGTGCACCAGACCACTACAGAGTGCACCAGACCACTACAGAGTGCACCAGACCACTACAGAGTGCACCAGACCACTACAGAGTGCACCAGACCACTACAGAGTGCACCAGACCACTACAGAGTGCACCAGACCACTACAGAGTGCACCAGACCACTACAGAGAGCACCAGACCACTACAGACTGCACCAGACCACTACAGAGTGCACCAGACCACTACAGAGTGCACCAGACCACTACAGAGTGCACCAGACCACTACAGAGTGCACCAGACCACTACAGAGTGCACCAGACCACTACAGAGTGCACCAGACCACTACAGAGTGCACCAGACCACTACAGAGTGCACCAGACCACTACAGAGTGCACCAGACCACTACAGAGTGCACCAGACCACTACAGAGTGCACCAGACCACTACAGAGTGCACCAGACCACTACAGAGTGCACCAGACCACTACAGAGTGCACCAGACCACTACAGAGTGCACCAGACCACTACAGAGTGCACCAGACCACTACAGAGTGCACCAGACCACTACAGAGTGCACCAGACCACTACAGAGTGCACCAGACCACTACAGAGTGCACCAGACCACTACAGAGTGCACCAGACCACTACAGAGTGCACCAGACCACTACAGAGTGCACCAGACCACTACAGAGTGCACCAGACCACTACAGAGTGCACCAGACCACTACAGAGTGCACCAGACCACTACAGAGTGCACCAGACCACTACAGAGTGCACCAGACCACTACAGAGTGCACCAGACCACTACAGAGTGCACCAGACCACTACAGAGTGCACCAGACCACTACAGAGTGCACCAGACCACTACAGAGTGCACCAGACCACTACAGAGTGCACCAGACCACTACAGAGTGCACCAGACCACTACAGATGCACCAACCACTACAGATGCACCAGACCACTACAGAGTGCACCAGACCACTACAGTTTATCTATTTATGGAAATAAATCTTAATGCAAAGCCGTTTGTGTATAATTGGAAAGATCAAATAAAGTTGAGTCTTTTCAACTTTACAATTTTGTTAACTTTCTTAACAATACTAACATATCATGACTTTAGAATTTTAAATCGTAAAATAAATAAATAAAAACTTACTTTTTTAATATATGAAATGCTGGAATTATTAATTCTGTTGATCTGTTTGTTGTGTGAAAATGTCATCAACATTGAAAGAAAACTAACGAAGATAATAGAGATAAAATATCAAAACTGAACGTGAAAGTTTTGACCCTTGAATTTTCCCGCCAAATATTCCGCCTCAACATTCACAATAACCATATACTTTACTTCCAAAAGGCATGCATTTTATTTATATTGTTTTAATTGAACAAATACTAGTTGGTAAGAACTGTGTAGTGCCACTCTACACTACACTCTCCTCGTCAACTTAACATTTACAGCTTGAAACAAAGTACTGGTCATCGCTGGTTAAAGAATACCAGTTGATTCAGAATTACTCTCCCCAGTGGCGCGCTGGTAACACATTCGCCCCGCGCTTTGTGAGTGAATTGCCCTACGTTCGTATCCTGGCCGGGGAGGATTGACCACGTGCTAGTCTTTAACTATACTCCTCTGTTCACCCAGCAGGAATTGGATACCTGGTTGTTAAAGGATTGGCGGGTCCTATATCAGGGAAACTAATGGGTAACGCTTACCTTGAACTATGAGATAGGAAAGCTCCTAGTCTGCTAACAGCAGTCAGCAGTCGTCTGTTCCTGTACTCACCTGTGTAAAAACAAAAACTGATTCAGTTTCACAAAACGAGGTTCTCTCTCTGCTGGACACTTTATAGAGGCAAGGCTCCTCTTAATGATGTCATTAACTTCGTCGCGCCTTACATTTCCAGTGCAAACTATTCAACTATTCATC